ATTTGGACCAAGCTCTGACCGTAGTGTATCTGTCTCCGAGCAAGCCAACCTCTAACAATCAGAATGGGTTGCCTGTCGTCGAAACCAGTGACGCCACTGCCTCGCGTCGTCACGAGGAACACCCTCAATACCTACCATATATCGATAATGCCGGAGCAGCTGAACGAGCTAATGGAGTACAAGAAGAAGGACGCGGTAAAGGCACTGGATGACAAATTTGGCGGCGTCAAAGGACTCTGCCTCAAACTGGGCGTAGATCCTTTTGAAGGTACGCTAAAACCAGCTCAATGCAATGCTGAATCACACTACTAAACTGATTACGTGTTCACAGGCTTGCAAAGCAACGAGGAGGACCTTGCCTTTCGTCGGACTGTCTACGGGGACAATGAAATCGCGCTCAAAAAGTCGAAACCTTTTCTCCACCTCGTCTGGGAAGCGCTGCAGGATAAAACCTTGATCATGCTGGAGATCTCTGCACTGATCAGCCTTGCTCTCTCTTTTTACCGGCCCAAACCGGAGGATGAGTTTGATGACGAGGGCAAGGAGGACTACGAGTACGGTGTGGACGGCGGCGAGGACAAGTACGGCTGCATTGAGGGCATCGCCATCATCATCAGCATTGCCATCATCGTGCTCGTCTCTGCTGTGAACGACTACAACAAGGAGCGGCAGTTTCGAGGACTTCAAGCGCAGCTAGAGAAGGAGAGTAAGGTGAACGTGCTGCGCGACAAGACGATTGTGGACATGTCAGTGCCCAGTCTGGTGGTGGGCGACATTGTCATGCTGAAGATAGGCGATGTTGTTCCAACTGATGGAATAATTTTTGAGTGCAACGAGCTGAAGATCGACGAGAGCTCGCTGACGGGCGAGTCAGAGCTGGTGAACAAGAGCCTGGCCACCGACCCGGTGCTCTACTCGGGAACGCACGTCATGGAGGGCAATGGGCGCATGGTGGTCACCGCAGTGGGCATGCACTCCCAGTCAGGGATCATCTACTCGCTGCTGGCGCAGAAGGGCGCAGATGGGGGCGACGACGGG